GATTAAAGGCTAATAATGAGCTGATTGGTTCTGATTTCAACGAAATGACCAACCAACCAATCAGAGAATGTGTAGACTAGATTGCCATGGTAACAGCCCGCGAGACTGCGGGCAATTTAAACGTTTCAAGTTAAATTACTGATTGATGATTTCTGATGCTCAATAATGACTGACTCTAGGACAAAGTTGTCAGAAGTTTTTTGTGAGAAGACGTGACTAGTGAGGTCCACCAGGTTGGATGTGACGACATGTACTCACCGATGATACTGGCTAGTAGTCGCACTTAAGTCGTGAATTGACAGAAGTTAGAATTCATGGGTAATTGAATTCCCGCTCACGTGGCTGAATGGTCCACAAGCTTGGAGTTACAACGTAAAGGTCCTGGATTCAATCCCTGATGGGGTCATGGGTGCGTACTGCCTAAGAGTCCCAAAACAAGACGAAACAGGTGGCCAAAACATTCCTAGGTTTTCAGTGGTTCTGTAACTGTTATCAATCCGCGATCAAACTTGAAACCAATTAAATCCCTACCAACTAACTCTTGAAAGTTTAAATGTTCTCTGGTTCATAGATTTCAGCTGGCTAATATCACGGACAGTCAGATGACTATGGCCTTCAGGTAGTTGCTTGTTCTGAAAATGATCACCTGAGAGGATGGTACATTTCTTATCATGGTAGCCAATTATTAGACATTAAGACTGATGAACTTTTTGGTTGGAGGATTTCATCATGAGCTGTAATCGGTTAGAGAACCATTGGAAAACCATCTAGGAGTACTGCCAGACAGCTGTTTCGTCAGCCTAGTTTAGGGCCTCTCAGCAGTACACACACTTCGCCAGGGTTCAAACCCAGGACATTCTGGGTACAAGGCTAGCGAGCTCGTAGACCATTAAGCCACTGGGACCCGCCAGTCCAATGGCCAGCCCATGAATTCTAACTTCTTCTTATCCACGACATAGCGCGACCACTTCGCAATGTCTTCTTCGATGAGCTACTGCCTCACGTTCAATCTACTGCACCCAACTGGTGACGGCTTCCCACCAGAACCCCAGGTTAACTGCCTGAATGGGACCAGTCGCTAGTGAGAATCAGATTAATTTTCAAGTATTGGTTCTGTAAGGAGCTTGTTTGACTGGGTGGAGGATCTTAGGTTCGAATCCCTGTGGCGGGAGCGCGGACTGCTGAAGGATTAGTCCCAAACTAAGCTGACGAAACAGCAGGCTGTCCAGTACTCTCAAGTGGTTATCCAGTGGTTCTCTAACTGATGTCAGCTCATGATGAAATCCTCCAACCAATCAATTAAAATCCCTACCAAAACCAATACTTGATGAACTTTTTGTTTCGACATTACTAGGCAGTTGGGAATCAATAAATAGCTAAAGGAAGGGAAAATTTTGAAAGACTGATAGAATCTATAATAAATGTTAACCAGACACAATCTGTAGAGTAAATTTAGACCAGTATGT